TCCAGGTGGCTGTGTTGGGCAGCAAAGGGGGTGACTGGTATATGAGGGTGTTAAACCGTGGGGGTAGGCAGCAGGCATCCCCCACTCTGGCACCCTCATAACCCAGCCAGGCCCTGTCACTATCTATATATGCATTTCAGCACATGTAAGCACTCCCCACCCCCCACCTGACAGTACTATCTTATGGTGGAGTTAATTATTTTATTGCATCCTAATATTGGCACATGTGTAGGTGGTGATGCTTTACTGCACAGCTAATTAGTCTGTTCCACCATAAAGTGCACATGCAGATTCACCCAGTTAGTCTCAAAGGGGTCACCCTGCCCTATCTTCTGCCTGATTTCAGACTAAAATAGCTAACTGCCTCTGTACCTAAGGTCTTAATCCACTTTAAGTCTTCATGCAAACTTTTCATTGTCATTACTGGAAGGTTAGCAGTGGATGAAGGATGCTTAATATATGGCCCATTCTTTGTAGCTCTGATCTTTACACCCATAACTAAAGCCCAGTCCAGGAAAACATGAAAGCATTTTAGGCATGTGCATCAAGCACTAACTTTAAAGTGCTGTCCTGAGAAGGCATGTTTGCCTAGGCTGGGGCCTGAAAAGTCTACACCCAGCAAAAAAGTAATGATATGTTGAGTACCGATATTATAAGGTATAGTAAAAGTATGAACATTGTGTCTATGAAAAACTATGCTAGCCTGTAGGAGTGACAAGTTACTTTTGAAAAGACACAAGCTTATAGACACTGCTAGCAACTAAGTTATAATTTAGAAAGGTGACATTTGCACCATATTAGAAGGTAGAGCTAAAATATCTGACTGTTTGGTGGGCTCTATCTGGCATGTTTAGATGATAATGTAACCAGATTAAGCACAACCCTTTGAGCTATTGTGAATTACAAGTAAAGCCCTGATTTATAAAGTTAAAAGCTGAATCCTAGACTCTAAGGCTGGTATAGGGGGGTTCATTAGGCAAAGATATCCACTGTTTATGCAAGGTTCTCAAAGAGTTTTGATTCTAGTTGTGCAACTTGCTATAACACAAAAGGCCCACGTTCAGTGACCTTTGGCTGCTTAAGCCTTCAAGCACTGCAGAGGCAAAGCTGTTGGATTTAAGAAGGGAAGTATGATTGGTAACTGGCATTGTTCTCAAGCTCCTTGTATGATACTGCAGTCTTCAAGGAAACTTCTCACCCTTGGGGAATGAAAAGAACTCAGAGCTCTCTGGGGGCAGGATCCAAAGTCTACTGAAGTCAGTGGTAATATATCTATTATTTTCAATAGTCTTTGGACTCTGTGCATCTACTGTGGAGAGACAAAGGAAGATGGAGAGGAAGTGATAATACAGAGGAGAGGTAAGTGCATAACACCAGCTATAGAGTGGCCTCAGTAAATAACCAGCAGTTTGAACAGTACTGGTGGCCAGAACGCAGAACAGAACTCAAATTGTCAATGCTTTTGCTACAGACTAGAACCAAAAGGGAGGAAAAGTTTGAAGTAATACAAACTCATCTCTTAAAAAGGAGCCACAACACAACAAGCAGACTAATAGACTCAGTAATGTAGGTCGGGTATCTTTTTGCTTCATTCTATTACATATGCTTATTGGCTTTCTCCAGCCGTATGTTTCTAGGTACTACTAAACGCTTTTAGACTGGATAAAGAAGTACTCTATGTAGATGTTTCATGCTGTCTGAATTAAGTAGGTATAGGCAATACACTTTATCAATATACTGGTTAGCTGGTACAAAAGAGATGCAGGGCAGCATTAAAAAAATCATCAAGAAATGCATTCTCTTTCATGCAAGACCAGGTTAGAAATCCTGAGGAACAAAGGTATTTATAGCTATTTTGACTTGTGACTTCAGTTATTGTGATAAATGTTTAATTCTTGTTGTCACTACTTTAATAGTGTTTTCTAGAGTAAAAAAATATAATCAAAAGGAAAGAAAATCACAGATAATCCAATTTAAACACTGAGTGTCATTTTATTTTAAAAGATCTGATTCATTCATAACACAAATTTGTAAAGTTTCTATTTGCATATACAGCTGTATGAATTCTGAAATTAAGTTGCCATTTTTCATTTTCTCATATTGCTCCTTTCTGTTTGAATGGAAAACCTAACCCAATTTTCCAAGGTTTGCAGGCAATAACTAAAATCTAGAGGTACCCTTTTAAATCTTTCAAGAGCAGTTTTTGATAAATTCTGAGTACTCTCCTCGTTCCCTCAAACTCATTTTTCCCATGTTACTCTCCTATAGAATGCCACATGGACCTACATATGCATGGAAAGTTAATTTTTTCTACTTAGAGGATTACCAAAACATATTCTACTTTCAGGAGGGAATGTGGAGCTGGTAACTTAAACAGGGGAGTCTGCATTCCTGCACTGCAATACATTCATTCATTCATTCATTCATTCATAATGAATGGAGCTGTGGTCTCCAATGGGAGAACTGCACAAGCCCTGAGTTAATCTGGTGAAAACCTACAAACGTTTTCAGTCAATAGCATTGACTAAGGTTATTGTTCACCAAGGTGGATAAAGCCTGGGAGAATGCTTGAAAAAACTCAGCACAAACCTGCTTCTTGGCTCCGGCCTTCAGTTTCTTCAGTACTCTGCTTCTCCTCTGTGCCATTATCATCTAACAAAAAAAAAAAGCCACAGCAAAGTTGTTTATGAAATATCTTTTTATTGGTAACAGTAGCATTGATATTAATGGTAATCAGTGTAGCATAAACTGTTAATTTACAACAAGGCCCCACAATAAAGTAGGGAAAATGTGAAGGTGGAAGAAATTTGAAAAATTGCAGACATAAAATGTTACATTTAAAATAGTCACATTTCAAACTGGGTGGCAGATTAAAGCAATAGGCAGAGTTGTTCCATACCCCAGGAAACATCTAAATGCACAGCAAAGTTATCTATACTTATATGACATATACAATACATATGCTTATTGGTTGATTGTTATTTTACTTATTTTATAAACCTTTTTACTTTCAAAAGACCTTTTTTTCTGGAGTAACATTCATACAAGCACTTTGAAGCAGCCACATTTTAGATTTGAGCAACCTATTGCAAGCAGTACTATGCAGGCTGACCATAGTAGCAACAGATTAGTCAGAATTTTATTTTTAAACCCAAAACCTCGACACTACTTCACATAAAGCATGAAAAATGCATGGCAAATGACTAAGAAGGCATATAAGGGGAAAATCAAATAAACCAACAAACCAGAGATTGGTCTAGTGCTTTAATGATTTCTGGGTTTTGTTTTGTTTTTACAATCTTTTTGCATTCGCATTCATACCCTGTTTTCTCCACTGCTTTGTATGCATTTTCATTAGCCATTCTTCCTCCACTCAGCTCCTAGACTGCAGGCAGGTACCAAATGACAAGTTACCCCAGAGAAAGGTATTCAGAGAGAGAGGCTATGGACACAGTACCAAGCTCCTTTGACCTTCTGCCTGAACTGATTAAGAATGAATAAGGCAATCTGTGTTTTCAATAACAGAGAACCCTATTTTAGACCCAGTTTAATCCTAAAAGCTAAGCTGTAACATATTGCATCAAATATCACCAGTGCGGTTATTCGGTTTCTTTTCAGAATGGTGACAGAATGCTTTAAGAGGGAACAATTAGGTATCAGATTTAATGAGGAATTCTAGGAACTGACTCCAGAGCATAGAGATTGATAAAAAGGAAACTCATGTCCCAGACCTAAAAGAGGCTTGATAATCATAAACATGTATCTTGCTGTCTCCTCCTGCTGTGATCTTATCTGGTAGCTGATTTTTTTTTTTTAGTATCACAACTTATATACTGCATTGCATTGTCATTCCCTATTTCAGCCACCTGGCTTTTTTTTTTAACATATGGGGGGTCTGCTGTGGAGAACAGCAGTAGCAGAAATGTGTCTAGCTTGATGGAAGAAAAACAAACAAACAAACCAACCTTAAAAAGAGTGTATTTTTATAAGTAAATATTGTGCATCTTGCGGTAGCATATTTAATTTTACTAACATCCATTCAATAGTCAGACATTTTACTTACCTAGTTTTTTGGCAGGTAATACTTCTCACAATCCAGCAGGTGGAACTAGTGTAGAAGCATTCTTATTCTGAGCCACAGCACATACAGTTACATCCTTAGCTGATCAGATTAGCATGTATTTTACACACTATCTGAGACATCTGGGGCAGAGTCTCAGCAGGTATAAATCAGCACAGTTGCACTGGGATCCATGGAGCTGTACTGATTTACATCAGCTGAGAAACTAACCCTTTAGCTGGGCTGTAACTGTTCATACTGATTTTTACAGGCCTAAATGGATGGATAGCTATAATAATTTCTTAGCTCATGAATGGGCTTTAACCTGTAAAAATCACATTACATGGATGACCAGACGCATTTGATAAGACCAGCATTTTATTTATCAACCTGCTTGTCCAGTTATAGTATGGGGACCACACGCAAATGGGAAATTAGACACACTAAAATGTAAACTGTTATTTTGCAAGACTTGCAGTAAATAGCTAATATGCTACAGGAGAATGCTTTGATGCTATGGGATATTCTTCAGGAAGATAAGGTTGTTTTAGTTCAAGCACTGCGGTTTGAAACCACATATTCAAGATATATGGTAAAACAATATTTAAATAGTCACTAGTGAAATCCTTATGATTATCCATTGCAAGTAATTAACCGTAATATCTATAGAATTATTTTCAGTTCCATAACTAAGCAAAGGGCAAAATTACATAGGATTTCATTGTGACCACTGTGTTACTAAATGTTAACTAAATTGTATTCAGTTTTGTAATTATATTTAGAAAAAAGCAGGTCAGGCCTTAATAAGAACTACTGATATTTATTGCTGGGAATAATTTTTGCATCTAAATTATTGCATTCACCAAAATAACAGCAATTTTGTCAATACTTGTTTCTACATACAGAAAAAAAATGCCAATATAGCAACACTATTTTTTAAAATTAAAATCAACTATTTTCATAATCTGATTCAAAGTTTTCAGTTTCTTCAAAGCACAAGTTGTCAGTGTAAAGTCATATTAATATAGCAAGTTTTTAAATAATCTGCCTTGGATTCATTAGCATGCTACTTTAAGCTGGTAATTCTATGGAAAAATACTGACTTATTACATAGGAGTAATATAATGGTGAATAAAGTACTACATATTTAATTCATGTTACTTGCAAAGACAATCAGAAATATATAAGAAATTTGTATTTTATTTTGGTCTTTCAAGATGGAAGACTATAAGAGATTTTATATGGACGCTGCGCAGCGCTGAGGCCCACCCAGCCTTCTATCCAGTGGGTACCAGGAGCTAATGGGGTATTAAAGATGTCTGGAGCGTGCTGCTGACCACATCACATCTGACTCATTCCAGAGTTAAAGAAACAATGGAGCCCTGCCTTCACTGCCCCAATGGGCCTCAATGGTCTGTAAATGGGACACCTCTTTCCTGCATTCCCCATTTCTAGCAAAATCTCTGAATCAGATAATTATAGAAAGCAATTCCATCTTATCCAAAGGAACCAGTATTCTTAGAGAGTTATGCCTTTAGGGGAGTGAGACTTGCATTTGTTTTCGTGGAGGGTGAAAAAGTTAGCAATTAAGACGGGAGAGCAAATAGAAAGATTTGAAATAACATTATTTGAAGCAACGAGTTAAGGGGGTAGTGGCTATGTCTTTCTCATATTTATATTCTCTTCAATAGGAAAAGACAAGATCTAATTCATTCCCCAGGAGTCTTTCCTATGACACTAGTAATAATAAAAATATGCTATTTCTTTGCATAGTTTCTACAGTGCCATCCTTCTCTTTCCAGTACAGCAGCAGCTGGCAACTGTAACTCCTACAGGTGACAACTGTCCTCATAATATCTCCTTTTCCATTATCCTAGTAATTGAGTAGCAAACTGTCATTCAATCCATAGATGATAGAAAAGAGTGGTGTATGACGCATTGTGTCATTTTAGGCCAGCAAATGTAAATGGTTTTGAGCCACATCAAAAGACAAATGGAAACATCTGTTTCTTTTCCCACAGAATGGCAGGCAAGTGGAAAAACAGGAGTTTCTGAGTTGCAGTAGCACGGTACAGACAAAATAAGCACATCAGTCACAGTAATACAGGCTTCTAGTAATACTTTTTGTTTTCATTTGCAAAACTTGCAACTGATAGGAGCCTGCACTCTCTCCTCATCCATCTGTTTGGTGCCAGTAAGAACATTCCAAAGATGATACACACCTTCATTTTATAAGGTGGATGAGAGGGTAATAAGCAGGCCAAACCATGATTATTAAAAACCTTCACAGGCAGGAAGGGCAAGAGGCAATACACACTCAACCTAGAAAAATAGGCAAATCTGAACTTGTTAGGTCTGCCTTGTATAACAGAGGGGTTTAATGTGTAATAGTGGTCCCAAAATGAAGCAAAATTATACGATAACAAGCAAGAATCAGATGAGAGGGGCATGAAACAAGAAATCTAGAAACAACGAGAGGATCTCCAAACTCCTGCACGAGACAGGGTTTCATTGTCTCTGTAACTGCTAGCAGATGGATAGACCAGTACCCAATTTATTAGTCTGATTACAAATATGGTAAGTCAAACATATTATTTTTGACCACTTGGATCCTCCTATTTCACAGCCTCAATAAGCAACAAATGCTGATAGTTGTATTCTTCTAACATGGACCTTCCTTAACAAACAGTCAGTAGGACCACTTGTGGAGTAACAGGCTGCTCAGCTTAGGAAAAGATGTCAGAATGCAACATTAAAATTACCAGGGACTGTCTGGACTATTTTTTCCAGAAAACTACAGGAGCTTAAAGAGTCAAAATTATATCATACTTCTAAGGGAAAAGGAGAATATCCATTGGACAAATGAAAATTGGCATAATGCCATCCCTCAAGGATGGGAAATCAATACCCTGCAATAGCATCATTCATGTTGTCTACCATTTGGCAGTAAACAACCAAAAGAAAGTTTCTTTAAAAAAATCTACTTCTTCAAGTAGAAATAAAGTGCACAATGGGCTACTGTAGGGGTCATATGTTACTCATAGAAATTTCTCACAAGTATATGTATCACATATCTAGACATTGAATTATACTAGATTATGCCCTGGCATAGTACCTGAAATGAAATCCCTGTATGTTCCCTATGGTTTTCCAGCCAGAAATGTTATGACCATCTGATAATGTGTGTGCTGCCCTGAGTTGGGCCCTATTTTTCTCGGGAATGCATTCATACACAGTGAGCCAAGCTTTGGCCCATAAGAAACAATACAGTTACAAATGACCTTCTTATAGCACAACAATGATAGGATGAGGATGATGATATGGTCCTCCTGGGAGACCACAGGGGAAATAACTGATAAGTCAAGTAAGAGTATAGGCCATTTACACATGTATGATTAGATCTATTCATTTGAACAGAACTATTCACATGCAACAAGGAAAACATAATCATAAATGGCTGCAGGATCATGATTAAAGGTGGCATTTGATTTCAGAGTACTCAGGTAGTAAAAACATATCAGAAATTAAACAAAGCCTACGTATATACAGACACAAAAGCCCTGTTATTGTAGAACTACAACTGCATTGAAGT